AAAACCCCTTTCCGTTTCTTCTGGTTCTTCCAGACAATAATTATTTCTCAAGCAAATATTTTCCACAGGTAAGGAGAAAATAGAAAAATGAAACCAGTCTCCACGAAGCCCCAAGAGCAACCGGCAACAACCCCACTGTATCACAAAATTACAAACAAATATGATCCATAAACAAGCATAAAGGATGCTTGACAGGTGATTGTTCCTGCTTATGGCAGTGTTAGGATTCATTTTATTTCACTTGTTCCTTTCTGCCTCAGGTAGAACTTTATATTCTGGTTTCTACTTCCAGAGAGATTAAAGGAAAGAAAGCAAACCAGTGTGGTCTCTCTTATCTTTTCTCAGTCTTGAATGCAGTAACATAGGGAATGGCTCTGCTTTGTGTCCCCAACTCTGAGTAAGATAGATAGCAAAAGCTTCAGCCGAGGGTTTTCAGTTGGTTATTTATAAACAATTCATATTAATTAGTGTGATGTTCAAAATAATTTTTGCAATATTAGGAACAGGAAGTAATAACCCAGACAAATACCAAACATGGCTTCTCTCTTAATATCTGACATATATATATTGTATTACTTGATAACACCACTAGATGACAGAAGTCTCTTTCATTATGTTTTGGCCATTTGTAAATCATTTTTTCTATTAATTTTTTTTGACAATTTCACAGTTTCCAATGGGAATACTGAAGATTTTCACATCTATTTATAGATCTAAAAGGGTATTTAGAAATAACATCTCCAGATACAGCATACTCACATAAGCCAGGTGGTGGTGGTGCACACCTTTAATCCCAGCACTCGGGAGGCAGAGGCAGGCGGATCTCTGTGAGTTCGAGGCCAGCCTTGTCTACAAGAGCTAGTTCCAGGACAGGAACCAAAAGCTACGGAGAAACCCTGTCGGAAATTAAAAAAAAAAAATGCTACCTCACATAAATGATTTCATTTTAAATCACTTGTTTGTCTATTATTACGAGTAATAATATTAATAGTATTTGAAGTACTGGGGATTGAACCTCAGATTTCATGCATGAGTGGCAGGCCCTGAGCCACAAGGAAATTTCTTTTATTCCATCTTAATCCTGTTCTTGCACAACTCCCATTGATTTCATTTTGATATATCCCATTTATAACATAGGACATTTTGAGGTAAAATTTGAATGCATTTCCATGTGGATCTTGCAGGCAGAGTATGTTTGGTTCATAAATATCTTAAGTTTATCAATATTTTCATCCAATAATAATAAGTATCACATTCACGTTTAAATGCAATAAACTACAAACATTGGGAAATCTTACCTTGTTCCCTCAGCAGTTGCCATCATTCATGCTTGTAGGTTCTTCACTCTTGGCTTGATTTGTGGAAATACAAATATATATACTTACTTTTTCCATTTCTCCCGAAAGTATTATCTTGCTCATTCTGGATGCTTGTTTTTCTTTCATCAGAAAGTATCTAAATGGGAGGTTTTCTTTCTCTAAATTTGTGCTTTGTAATAATAATATTATTTATTTTACTAACTTTGATGATGGGAATTTGATGCTTTCATTATTTTACTGACATGACATTTACTTTTCCTTAATCTATCAAATTCTGTCTATGCAGAACAACATGTATCATAACATCTTAGAAGTAAGATTTTTCCATCATGTGTTGAATAGCTACCACTCTTTATGGAACTGGAGATATGTCGTTATGGCTAAGGGTACAAGCTGCTCTTCCAAAGGACCCAGGTTTGATTCCCAGCACTCAAATGGCAGCTTTCTGGAGACTGTACCTCCAGTTCCACGAAATTTGAGGCTCTCTTGTGGCCTTTGCAAGCAAAACACACACACACAAACATACACACATGCACATACATACATACATACATATATAACATAAAACTTTTTGGGGGAGAAAGACTTGGCTTAGCAGTCAAAAGCACTACCTAGTCTTCCATGGTTCCCAGGTTAAATTCCCAGAACTCACATGGTGACTTACAATGATCTGTAACACCAATTTCATGGAATTTAATTCTCTCTTCTGGTCCACAGCCTCCAAGAGTACATGGTGTTCAGACAAACATGCAGGCAAAACATCCATACTCATAAAATCATAATTAAAACTTAATTTTTTTAAATTTTGAACTAATTTATAAAAGTTATCTTTTTGTTTTCTACTGTAATCATAATGCGTATACTGATGTAAGGAATATTTAAAGAGACATTCACTTTGGCATCTGTCTCTATGACCTAGCTTTTGTCTCATAAGTAGTTTTAATGATATGTCTTCAATACAAGACTTTATATCTACTGTATATTAGGCCCAGTGTTTGGGTAACCATGTTGATTTTTCATTCATCTCTTTACACCTTCTCTATCTATGAATCAAGACAATGCTATGTAACAATTCATCATGTGTACTTTATTTAAATATTTAATGGAGCTGTTGCCGATGCTTCTTTTCCACCTATATTACTCTGTTCTTTGCACTACTTATATGTTGTAATCCTAATGATGCCACAGATCCTAATATTTGAGATTGTTTTAGATACTTTGACTTAGTTTTTTCTCACCACACTGATTATTTTCTTTTTCTTTTTTTATTTTCAATAAATATGATTTCAACATCAACTAAAATTTTGATAAGAAAATGGGAAGTCCGTTATGGTGGAGGGAAAGACAGTGGTAAGGGAGAGACATCCAATGCCTATGGTATTGCTTCCCCTTCCTAAGAAAGCTTAGTAAGATGCATAGTTACTAAAAATACCCCAGGAGAAAATCGAAAAAAATAGAAGATATTTCCCCAAGGATGTTAAAATTGGAAAAACTGGGCAAATGCCCAGCCTTCTCCACTTATTATTTTTGGCACTGGTGCAGGAGAGTATCTTCCATTAAACATGCCATGCCCAGAAGAAAGGAGTTTTAACCCTTTCTTTGATCAAGTTCCAACAAATTCTTTGAAAGGAGAAAAACACTAAAAATACTGAAATGTTTTGACCTATTAACCATATTTTTACTCTCATATTCATGGTAATTGTCTTAGCATCATTCTTTCGAACATAGCATTCAAAGAGCTATTTGAGTAAGTTTCTCTTTCTTCTCCCTATCTCTCATTCTTGTTCTCTCTTTATCTGTGTGTGTGTGTGTGTGTGTGTGTGTGTATATATATATATATATATATATATATATATATATAAAGTCCTGTGTGTCACTCACATAATTTTGTTCTGTATTAGCACATGCTTCAAGGATAAAATCAATTCTAAGGGCCTGCATTCTGTGTAAATTAGTTTTATGTCACTCAGATGCATGTTCATGCCTCATTTAAAAAGAGATTAGTAGCCCATGTATATTTAATGAAGCTAACATCAATTCCAGACCATACGTTCTCATTCTTCATTCTCTATTCTGCTTCAGTTTCCCATTTCCTTCAATGAGAGTTTTAAATTCGCAAGAGAGATTCTAAACGCGTGTTCTTTATCCAATGCAGTATTCCATCTTGGAAGATACCAATGTTGAAGGGGTTCTGCAACCCACAGATTTCTCTAATGTTAATACGACAAATACATGTGCACAATATATAAGATCCAAAGTTTTAGTTTCTATTTCTTGTTTACTAGTTTCTTGAATAAGGTTATACTGATTTTAACCACTGTTGAACATTGTTAAATCTCTGCTTCTTTAGGTAATGTCAGTGAGTATAATCTTGGAAGAAAAGCATATTTTATTACTTCAGAAAACAATACTCATTTAACCTGGCATTGCAATATAAACTGAGTCATGGATAATAAGGATTACTGTGGTAGTTTGATCTACAGCTGCTCCCCATAGGCTCTTGTGCTAAAGCAATTGGTCCTGGTTTGTGATGCTATTTGAAGAGAGAATGGAATATTTAAGAAGTAGAGCCTTGCTGGAGGATGTCTGTCTCTCAACTTCCTGTTATGGCATTCTTTTGCCATGTGTCTTCCAAAATGACGAATTCTCCCTCTGGAAACTAAAATAAACATTTCTTCCCTACGTCACTTCTCATCAGGGTGTTTTATCAGCAACAAAATGTAAGCCAGAATAACAGTTATGCAGAGTCAAAGCTTCATCAGTGGGAAACACTCACAGAGTTCTTACTCAAAGGGAGTCATGTACCCCTACATCCTAACACCACTCTTTCCCAAGTCTCTGATCTTGGTGTTGCTAATAAAATCCTGAGCATCCTAGTATTTAACATTTAGGGTATAAATCCTTGTGCCAATTCACAATACGACTCAGATTTTTTTTAAAAAAAATTGAAAGATATCAGTTGCTAAGTTTAAATGTTGCTTTGTATGGAAAGCAATACCAAGTTGATTATATTGTAATTCATGTGTTATCTTTAATGGAAATTGAGATTTCCCAGATTCCAATTCCCACACAAACACCAATACATACAGACATAATAGACTTGCTGTGCTGTTCTGAAGTTTATACGCTCCTTAGACAATTGGGGAAAAGCAGTATGATCTGATAGAAAATACCTTGGCTTGACTGGTAAACTGGATCTTCATTGTGAACTGAGGATAACGATTTGACTGGGTTGAGAAGAAAGCTTTGATCCTGATGCCCTCTGCAGTTCTGCTTTAACATGGTCCTTGGTTAGAACTCCAAACTTCATCTTTTTTTTTAAATTTATTTATTTATTTTCATTATTATTTTTTTTAGTTGTTGAAAAAAAAATTTCCACCTCCTCCCCATTTCCCATTTCCCTCTCCCTCCTCCCACACATCGCCCCCTCCCCCTCTCCCCTCCCCCTCTCTCACTCCCCCCCACTCCATTCCCCCTCCCTCTCGAGAATGAAGAGCAGTCCAGATTCCCTGCCCTGCAGTAAGTCCAAGGTCCTCCCACTTCTATCCAGGTCCAGACCCTAACCGATAGCCATACTGATGAATATCTTGCATATCACCTTAGAACCTTCATCTGGCGATGGATCGAGATCGAGACAGAGATCCAAATTGGAGCACCGGACTGAGCTCTTAATATCCAAATGAGGAGCAGAAGGAGGGAGAATATGAGCAAGGAAGTCAGGATCACGAGGGGTGCACCCATCCAAACTTCATCTTAATTCATTAAACTCCTCAGTTGCACCTTAAACAATACTGATAGAGAGATAGGACAAAACGTAGAGAATATTACACATCTCTTAAATGTTCACAAAATAAATTACTTTAAATTATCAGTATTTGTGCCGGGCGGTGGTGGCGCACGCCTTTAATCCCAGCACTTGGGAGGCAGAGGCAGGCGGATCTCTGTGAGTTCGAGACCAGCCTGGTCTACAAGAGCTAGTTCCAGGACAGGCTCCAAAACCACAGAGAAACCCTGTCTCGAAAAACCAAAATAAATAAATAAATAAATAAATATAAAATATCAGTATTTGAAATTTATACTTATTTTTAACATAGTAAATCTTGCAACTGTTAATATTACATTATTGGTTTATCTTATACTAGAAGAAAATCAAGAACACATTTCACAACTCATAGGAAATCCTACCAATATTTACAGTTTTCTTAAAGTTGTCTTAATACTTTAATTCATAAGAACAATAAGCAATAGCTAATAATTAGATGACATTAGTAATATAATCATTGGTACTTTAGAAGTTCTATTGTACATGATTACAACATTTAACCCACAAAGTTGTCTTGTCAACCTATACACCATTATCATCCCAGAAGAACGAGAGACTGGGAGGCATGCTTCTATCAGGCTGTGTATATGAAACAGTATAATTACTGAGGAATATAAGTTAAATATAACTAAGAACACAGCTTGTATGCAAGCACCTTTCCAATGTATGATTAAAAGAAGATAGGTCACATTCAAAGACAGCTAGCTTGATCAGCTCTCCAACTCAGAATAAGAACAAGAAGCCTAAAGTGACATCTACTTAGATGTATAGAAATCTGATCTGCATTACCAGTTATGATATTAAATCATTGAATTTTTTAAGTTCATTTGTGTTTTTTCTATGCATAAAGATGAAATTTGGGGGCTTGGAAGATAGCCGTTACATGTTGGTACTGCACTTGCCGAGGACCTGAGTTTGATTATGAGCAACAATATCAAGTGGATCACAATCTTCTGTGACTCCACCTCCAAGAGTATCAAGTGCCCCGGGCCTCCTTGAGCAGCTGTATTCATGATGTGTTTATACACAGACACAATTACAAATGTGTAATTAAAAATAGGAAAACTAATTTTTTAAGCATATAATCATGCTCTATTACTCCTTATGAATAACCAATGACAAAATTAATTGAAAATTGCTTCATTGTAAATACAATTAATTTGAAGGATAGTCTATATTTATTTGAAAGAACTTTATCAGGAACCATTACTTTGTAAACCTTTTTATTATTAGTTTTCTTTCCTATCTATAGGATGCTGTTCAGTAACGGTTTATGTTGGATGATTTATCTGTCACTAAACACATTCAAGCACAGTAGGCTTAATTCATTGCCTGTCCTGGACCATGTCTCATAATTTAATTTGTATCGGCCTATCCATAAATTTGAAGATAAATTTGTGCATAAAATTGTTTTTTTCTGCATATTATCAATTCATCTTTATTTCTGAATATCACAAATTCCAATCAGGATATTTTAAAAATATTTTTTTGTATACATTTAACAAATCCAACAGAAAACAGGTATCCAGTTTACCTGCATTGTAACTATGAAGTTTTAACTGAAGAACCAATAAACATATTTAAATGCAATGGTACCGGTGAGAACAGAAACCTTTGAGATGTTAGTCTGATGGCATCATACTGCTATGCACTACTACTGACCCTGAAGCACAGGCAGATAGAGACACAGGGCTTCCCTAAAAAGCAAGTGGAAAGGATTCCATCTCCTCCTCCTCCTCCTCCTCCTCCTCATCATCATCATCATCATCATCACTACTCAGGGCAAAGCTGCTGTCTGTGGACTGAGACCCATCTTCTTTCACATTCCCCACAGTCCCTCTCTCATCAGAATCACCAAATAATTTCTCATTAAGACCTTCCTCCTCAAAAAACTTCTCACTAAAAGCATCTTTAAATACCTTCTCATTGGTATCTTCATCTTTCTTTACATCAGTATCTTCTTCCTCTTCCTTTTCATCAGAGTCATCAAAGAGCTTCTCATCTATGTCATCTTCTTCCTCTTTGTCATCAGCATCCCCACACTCCTTCTCTGCTTCTAAGTCGTCATCATTCTCATCAGACTCATTCTTAAAAACCCTTTCATATACAACTGCTTCCTCCTCCTTTTCATCCAAGACTTCATCAAACTCTCTCTCAGAGCCTTTTTCAAATTCTGATTTGTCACTGTCATTGTCTTCTGATCCATTCTCAGTGTGTTCAGGCGACTCCTTGTCGGAGGAATCCTGGTCGAAAGCTTTTTTAACACCATTTTCTTCTAAGTCTTTGTCAACGCCATCTTCAGACTGCTTCTCTAAGCAGTCTTCCTCAGATGCTGAGTCATCACCTTCTGACTCTTTCTTGAGGCTGTCTGCCTCTGCCTCTCCGCTGTGGTCACTGTCTTCAGACACTTTGGCAAGGCCATTCTTTTCATAATTATCTTTGCCTTTCTTCTTAGATTCTCTTTCAGGACCATGCTCTTGAGACTCCTTTTTAGGATTACCTTCTTCAAGCTCGCTCTCAGGGAGGGCTTCTTCACTCTCTCTCTTGGTGCAGCCCTCTTCACACTCTCTCTCAGGGTCATCTTCATCAGACCCACCTTCTTTAGCATCCTTTTCAAAAGCTTTTCCTTCAATTTTGAATCCATCTTCTGCCTTTTTAAACTTATTTCCATTGATAGTTTCTCCAAATGCCATTCCAGTTATAGCTTCCTGAGCACCTGTGTTAGACATGCTCAGATGCTCTGAAAAATGCCTTCCTCTGGAAGGCCCTGCATTTTCTGAAGCACTGATGGAATCCGTGTGCTGGAGGCCTCTGTTGGCCTCAGGGGCATTGAGGAATGCCTCCCAGCCTCTCACCCTTTCCTCTCTTTCTCTTGACGTCTCCTCTACCTGGTAATCTGTAGTCCCATCCCAGGCTTGAGCAGTGATTTGACGGCCACCAAACCACCTTCCATCAAGAGTCTGAATGCAATAATCAGCATCCTCTGGTTCCCGGAAGGACACAGAGGCCACACCATCTGGGTGCCTATCAAACAGAAGGAGCTTCCTAATCTGTCCAAACTTGGAACATTCTGCTCGAAGGTCTTCTCTGATCTCATTCAGCACCAATGGATCATCCTCAAAATCTGTGGGGTGAAACATATTTTTGATGATGACAACTTGCTCATGTCGCATCCGGGATGGTCCAGCTCTCCTCTCAGGCCTCCAATCCAACTGCTTCTGTTGCAGAGACAGTTTCTTCTTGTAATCTTTACACTTCTTCTTCTTTTTTGAGGCATCATACTCGCCCTTCAGCTGGAACTTTGCCACCTCGACATGCAATTTGTAGCCTCTAATTTCATCTTCATCCAAAAGTTTTAGTGCAAGTTCCACAGATTCTTTCTTTAGATAGCAGCAAAGCCCATCTCCTTTAAGATTGCCTTGATTATCTTTGTAAAGCTTGACCTTAAATTCTTCTGTCTGAGGATCTCTCATAATAATGCCAAATTTGGACATAAGCTGTATGAATTCATCCACTGTGATGTCTGGAGGCAGACCTGTCACGTACACATTTGTATTTCTGTCTTCTTCAACATGGAACCATCCTGAATCGGCCTTTCTCTTTTCTCCCCTTTTTTTGGAGTCAGTGGCTTCCGGGATTTCTCTTTGCGGTTCTTCTCCAGTCGTCATGTTGGTGTCCTGGGCATTTGCGGTGGAACTAGATGAACCGTCACTAGAAAAGCCGTAATTAGCCTGATATGTAGCAATGAAATCTTCGGTGATCTTAGGAAACCAAGCCTTCTTATCAAGGTCCCACTCATAGGGCATGTCAGCGGGCAGTTGTCCCAAAGAATCGGTTTCTCCAGAGGGGTCATTCTGGGTGTTACCATCCTTGGGGTCTCCATACAATTTGTGCAGTCGCAACTGCTCATCAAACTCATCGTTCCCACTTAAGTTGTTGCCACTCATATTTCTGACCTGGTCCCAGGGACACTGCTCAGAGAGGTGAAAAGGCCAAGACAACGCTGGCGGGCTCCACGGGGTCTGGACGCCAAGGTTCTGCCAGGGCGAAGCGGAAGTACGCAGGCATGACGTCACCATCAAGGCAGCCACTGGCTCCGGAAGCCCCATCCTCCTCCCTGCCCCCAACAAGAAATCCTTTGAGAACGAAGTCCCCCCTCCCTCAGGCTGATGGCAACGCATTGTCAGCACATGGCAATGTGGCAGGTCCATAAAATTGTTTTCAATAAATAAATTGAGCTTAATTTGTATTAATCCCAGTTTTTCGGCGATTCCAAAACAAAACTGGTTGTTATGGTTTTGGTCCCTTTAAGAGACAAGCCACGAAGCCACGCCCACTCCCTCCCCCATCCAATGATGCAGGCTGATCTTCAGCTTCCCGCCTGAGCTTGTCCTCTCTTTTCTATCTTCCTCTCGGAGAGGCAGCTTCACTTCTGCCTCTCTCCCCACTTCTCTGCTTCCCCCCTTCTCTGTCTCTTTCTCCTCTTCTCTCTCTCCCTCTCCCTCTCTCTCTGTCCCCCCCTTCACCCTTCCTTCTCCTTAACCCCCTGTATAAACATCCAACCTCACCCTGCATGTCCTGCCTATCTATGTTTCTGTCTTCTGCCCATCTGCCATGTGTCTCCCTGCCTGGAACCAGCCATTGCTCGGGGACCAGCAGCCATTTCTGCCTGGGACTGGCTGCTCCCAGGGCCTGCTGTCTGCCGCCACATGGCCCGCTGCCACTATTTGGGACCTACAGCATTTCTGCTGCCTACTGCCGCGGGGATCTTTCAGCATTAAAAAAAAAAAAAAAAAAAAAAAAAAAAACAGCACTGGTAACAATAAAATTCAGGAGAATTGTGCTTAGTAGGTTCCATTCTTAATTTAACACAGACAAATATTTATTGGGAAATAGTATACTAACATTTATGTCTCCAGTCTTAACTTCTAATGATTATCAAGATATAATCACAAATTCTTTCCAATGATACTTAAAGTGTAATGTCTCGTGAAAAGAGAATTTAAATTAATAAAGGTGTCTGAGAGTATTTGTCCATGGAGGATGAAAGCAATGATTTTCTGTAAAAGGAAAAGTATGCTGAACCTTGATATTACAGCAATATTTAGGTAATATATTTTATTAATAACGTTAAAAATTATATCTCTAAGTATATAGAGTTTGACATTAAAATGTCTTCTTTTCATAGCTGTGACATTTACAACTCCTACATCTCAAATTCATGGAATTGATCTTAATTGCCTATTTTATAAACAGGAATGTGGAAATTTAAGATGAAGGTTCTTATTTGAAAGATGAATTATCTTGTAACAACATATTTATATAATAATTTAAAAATATTTATTTAATGTCTATGACAGAATTAAAGAAGGGTCTTAGAGATAATGTATAGACAAAATAAATAACTTCTTCGTCATCATGGAGCTTTACTCAAACTGATGGTAAGTGATGCTTACTAATTAAACATTATTATTATTACAAAATTTTAGGTGTCTGGGATATATGAAGAGGGAGTTGGTAAAATCCTGTCAATATGTGACTTAATTTAGCAGTTAAGACCAGAAAAATCTTTAAAGAAACAGTTAGTTATGAACTGAAATTCAAAATGAAGGAATAAGAGGAGAAGATATTAATGAGTTGTTGATTCTACTGTGTACTGTTTCTGCAAATTTTGGTGTATTGAACTTAGGAAATTAATCCTAAGCACTGATGCATTCTTAAAAGGCACCTTCATTCTCTCCCTTCTTTATCTATTATCCATCCATCAAAAGACATTGAAAATTGATAGTTGTATCAAATACTGACAAGGACACATAGAAGCTCAACACCTAACACACTGCTATTTGAAATGAAATGTTGAGTGATACATCTAGCCTAGAAAAAATTTTTCTAGTTCAATCTAAGTTGCATGAAACAGAATTTTCAGGGAGCTAAATGTTCACACCGGCTTTTTTTGTAATAACTCCAAATTCAAAATAGTACAGATGATATTAAGCAGGTGAAGGGTTAAAAACTTATAATTTGTGATATATATATATGCATATATATATATATGCATGGTAACAAGATGGAACAACTATTTAAAATAGGAATTTGACTAGAACTCAAGAAATTTATGTGAGTAAAAACAAAATAAATATTGGCATTAAAAGCAGTATTCCTGTCTTTCAAATTTTAGCTTGTACAGCATTTTCCAATAAGAAAATCAGGTCCCTTGGATTAATGGCTGAGAAGATAAATATATTGTCTCTTTTGCTGTACTGCTGATGTCTTTATACTAGTTTAGGTCTTGAGCACAAAAGCTGAGCTATGGATGGCTTTCACCTCTGTAAGCCACAGGGCGACAGTGGGGCCATGAATATATACCTCTGCTTTTGATATTTACCTTTATTGCCTAAGTTTTGTTTTCCTGAAACTTGCTCTAAAGACCCAACCAACCTCAATTCCAGAGATCCACCAGCCTCAGGTGTAGGATTCTGATGTGGGAGTCCCCTCTGTGTGCTGTGATTACCATTAATTAATAAAAAAAAAAGAGCTGCTTTTGGACCTATAGCAAGGCAGACCTTAGATAGGCAGGAAAAGCTAGTCTGAATGCTGAGAGAAAGAAGGGCAGAGTCAGAGAGTATCCATTGAGTCACTGGAGATAGATGCTGGGAACTTTAGCCAAGAGACAGGTGCTGGGAACTTTAGCTGGTTAGCCACAGTCATGTAGTCATATACAGATTAATAGAAATGTGTTAAATTCAGATGTAAAAGTTAGCCAATAAGAAGTTGAGCTAGTGGGCTAAAGCAGTGATTTAATTAAAACAGTTTCTGTGTGATTATTTGGGGTCTAAGCTAGCCGGGCATCCGGGAACCAATAAGTAGTTCCCTTCTCCAACAGGATTCCCCTCTGTGTGCTGTGATTATCATTGATTAATAAAGAACTGTCTTGGGCCTGCACTCTCTTGGCTAGAACTGATGGAAACAGAGGCCGAGAGACCTGTAGCAGAGCACTGGGCTGAGCTCCCAAAGTTCAGTTGAAGAGTGGGAGGAGTGAGAATACCAACAAAGAGGTTGAGACCATATGGGGACATTCTATGAAACAGTTTACCTGAGCTAATAGGAGCTCACCAACTCCAGTCAGACAGGGAAGGAACCAGCATTGGACCAAACTAGACCATCTGAAAGTGGATGACAGGTGTATGACTGGGGCAGACTATGGGACCACTGGCAGTGGCACCAGAATTTATCCCTACTGCTTGTAGTGGTTTTTTTGGGAACCCATTATTCTTAAATTGATACCTTGCTCAGCCTTGATATAGTAGCGAGAGCCTTGGACTTTCCCCAAAGTAATGTGCCTTACCCTCTCTAAGGAGTGGATGGGTGGGTGGGGTGGAGGGCTAGGTGTTGGGAAGGGAAGGAGGGGAGGGAGTGAGAACTGGGATTAGTATTTAAATGGAAAAAGATACTTTGTTTGATTTTTTTTTGAGACAGGGTTTCTCTGTGTTGCTTTTGGAGCCAGTCCTGGAACTAGCAATTGCAGACCAGGCTGGCCTCAAACTCACAGAGATCCACCTGCCTCTGCCTCCTGAGTGCTGGGATTAAAGGCATGCACCACCATTGCCCAGCATTGTTTGCGTTTTTAAAAGAAATAAAATAAAATAAATTATAAAAAACAGGTAAATTTTAAAAAGAAGTGTATACCACCATACCCTGCTTTTCTCTAATTCCTCTTCATAAATTAGCAATATAGCTGGGTGGGTCTTCCTCTGAGTTCACCACTCCCTTTACTCAATTTCTTAATCCATTTGTCTTCTTGAACACAGAATTTAGCTCCATTCACTTTCTGGTGCTCTTTTTCTCCTTAAATATTTTCCTTTCTCAGCTTGCTCCTTTTTATTGTAAATTTTCATCCGAGTTATCACTAATATCAACAGGACAGAGTCTATACTGGGCTGTTCTGAGATTTCTTCTGTCAACAGAACTAATTCAAAACTCTTCACTTTAGCCAGCTAGGTTCTTTAGACAAGAGCAAAAGGCAGCCACTTTCTTCACCAAAATATCACAAGAGCAATCTCTAGGCAACATACTAAAATTCTACTCTGAAACCTCTTGAGTGAGTATCCTTCCCCATATTTCAAATAACTCTTAGCACCTCTGTCTTCCATACCTCTACTAATATGACCCATTTGTCAGGGCCTAAAATATTCCACTGGTTTATAAACACAAAGTACCAAAGTCTAAATTTTTCCAAATAGACACATGTTCAGGCCTATCACAGAAATACCTTGGGACTAACTTCTGTCTTAGTTAGGGTTTACATTGCTGTGAAGTGACACCATGACTGTGGCAACTCTTATAAAGAAAATATTTAATTGGGTGCATTCCTTACAGTTTGAGTCAGGTCTATTATCATCATGAAGGGGAGCATGGCAACACACAGGCAGATATGGTGTTGGAATGGAGAGAGCCACATCTTGTAGGCAAGAGAAATTCAACTGAAACACTGGGTCATGTCCAAAGCATAGGAAACCCCAAAGCCCACAGCCACAGTTACATACTTCCTCCAACAAGGCCAAACCCACTCCAACAAAGCCATACTTCTTAATAGTACCATTCTTTGTGAGATTATGGGAGCCAATTAAATTAAAGCAGCCACATCATTCTTATCTTTATTAATATTTTACACACAGAGGTACATACACATAGAAAAAAGTATGTATGGATTCAACCAGCTGAGTCCATTTTTTATTTTTTTGTTTGTGTGTATATGGCCACTTGGTATTGAATAACCAATCAGGTTTCAACAGTTTGTAGGAAACTTATATATATTTGTGTGTTTACATTATATAAAGTTTATATGTACAACCACATATATATATACTTTATATATGTGTGTGTAAATATAAAAAGTGGTATATAATCTATTGCTTGTTGACCATTTTCATTTCTTCATTTGAGAAGC